TGTTGTGTAATGCGTTCGCATTAAAAAAAACTGTCCAATCCGAGAATCTTGTGGGGTCCCTGAATGGAACGCAAGATGCAGGTTGCATTGACTATCAGGTGTTCAGGTTACTCACAGCCAAGCTATCGACACCCGTTGTGGTAATGGAGTCAACTGAGAAGACGATTTCGTCGACCGTGCGTGTGTATGAGAAACACGGTTGATCACGAGACTGCGCACGTTCACAGCCCGCACAATTCCAGCATGAGTTACTCTATATTGGAAATCGAATGTTGACTGCTGTCTTATTTCCTTCACTGTGTGAGATTGATAAATATCTGCATAAAACAATGAGGTCGACATACCGTATGAATTAAGTATGGCGAGCTATACTACTGCGGTAGGGCTTAAGTAGATCGTGCGGGTATTGAAAATTTAGAAATGTCTTCACATTTGACTTGCTGATGGATAATCAATCGCCTTTCCCTTCCCTCGCAAGTCACATTTGTTAGTGGCCATTATCTTAATTACCTTCATTAGTTTTCTACACCTCAGTGGGAAAAAACAATCCAAGTTTCCTTGGATGATTGCTTTTTCCCCACTGAGGTGTAGAATTAAAAAAAACATGCATCATCATATTGATCATCCCTACATCGATCAAAAATGAACGGAAAATTTGCCAAACACATCAAGCAGCGATTGTTATTTTGTGTACAGTAGATACTCGAAGAATATGAATATGAATTTCAGCAATAACACCAATGAAAGTTATTAATTTGACCCAGTGCGGTTTTTTAGGCATGAAACTATTTACAAGGGTTACGCCTCATTCGCATTGGGGCTTGTTGTTAATCAACAGCGTTGCCGCTTAAAGTTAAATAGTCGCGGAAACTCATTTATTCGTGCCGAATCGGATAGCCCCGTGGGGATAACAATTCACAACCCGCTGCGCTCTGTCACGTGGACGCCTGGGTGGGGCCTGTTCCGACAACAATCACATCCGATTCGTGCCTTTATGCACTCACCAGGCTGTTCCGCTGTTTACGCGTAGGGGCATATACACAGGTAGCCGTGGCGGGGATGAGACAGCAAGCGGAAGGGTGGTTGGTCAGGCCCGAAGGCCAGTGCCTGTCTGACACACAGTGGCATGTTCGTGTAAGCACACAGCTGCTTTGCTCGCTCGTGTGTTATTTGTCTATCTGTGATGAATGCGCTGTGGCCCAGTTCCAACCTTGTCTGTCTGTACACTTATTTATGCACATACATTCATAGGCGTGGATGAGAGGAAGAGCGAGCGAGCGAGTGAGGTAGAGATGAATAGACAGATAGACAGGCAGGCAGACAGACGGATAGGCGAACCACTTACGCGTGTGCGCCCGAAACTATGGTTCGATGTTGCGGTTGGTGTTGTTGGTCTAGTGTTAGTGAAGGAGCCATGGAGCGCATAGCCGTATGTGGCATTTGTACGACCGACAGCGCACGTACGGTCGCTTGTGATTGTTGTTGTTGTTGTTGCTGTTGTTGCGGGTTCTGCCGCTTCTGTTCCGGTCTTTGCCGCAAAAACAACTGCCCATTCACCCACGAATTTGTACGTATAAGTGGATTTTTCTTCGAATTAATCTCCATTCTTCGTTGGGTCTTCGAAACGGATGTGGATTTATTTAAAAAACGGCTAATCAATATGTCTTCATACTGACAATATCCTGCGAATCATTACGTCAAGTTCCCTTTATTTGAATGTGAACGCATTTTACTTTGTGCCAATCGGGACTGTAAAGAGTTTGTTAATGTGATGAAATCCAAAAGTCGTCGTTCATCCGCGAGTCGGTCGAATGTAGGGTCTGAAGATGGTCGAACGCCGGGGCGGGACTGTTCGGAAACACCAGGATCGGATGAGACACAATCATCCGGACCGGGTTCAAGTATTGGAACAAAACGAAGAAAACCGGTTGAATCAAGTTGCACAAATACTCGGTCGTCTAGAGTGACCACCAGCCCAACCGTTAGTTCCTCTATGGCCCCAGTTACTATTACAGCTGCTAATCTGTCTGGTGGTAACGAAACGAAAGCCACCGCAAAGAAAAGGCATCATGCAACCGGCACAACTAGTGGAACTACTGCCAGTGCAAACGGAAAACATTTTTCAGTTGGTTCGAGTCACCGGCGCCATTCTCACAGCAATTCATCTGCCTCGTCTGTGGTTTCCGGGACCGGCGATCCCATTGACCCGTATGAGTTTGCTGTGAAAACGGATGATGATGAGGTGAATACTTGTGGGATTAACACAACCGTGGCGCCTATGAAACGAATGAAACTAGATAAAGTAAGTACTCAATAATTTTGATCTTGACCTGTTGCTCACTTATTTTTCCTGAGCTTATGACAAATATACGCATTACTGTTTATCATCTTATTCAATCACTTATAGAGGCCGTTGAAAGTCTGACCCAGCTTAGATAAAATCATTTATGTGGTTTTTGCATTCCCATAACTTCGACTTAAGAGAATTTCGATTCGACGGTTCAATACCACGCCTAACCTATCGAGGCCTTATGTGGTTCGCCACTCCCGGGGTTTAAGTTGCCGGTTTCCACCACTGAACAACAGGTCCGCGTGACTATTGGGTTCACCTCGTCTGCTGTTCACACTTAGGTGTGTAATAAAAAATTAACCGGTCACGGTTAGATTAAAAAGAAATGAACTATAAAGTTTAGTTTGAAGTACCTTCATTGTAGTAGTGAAGCTAGAGCAAGCAGTAAACCATCATCTACCGGGTAAGAGCAATGATTCAAACAGAGAATATCGCAATTGTAAATTCAGTTCAAAAGAAACAACCACAATCCACAATGGGCTAGGGTAGCCTGGGTAGTGATAACTACCAATACTGCCATCCTCGGATAGTTAGTTTCATTCATTCGGAAGGATCCACTCGTAGGTTTTCAGCATTGAATTAGCTTCACCAGTATCGGCCTAGTATTGACTGTAGGTAGCTTACGTTAATTAATATGCCTTAAACAGATCAATGTCGCTTGATTTTCCCCATTGTATGTTGTATGATAGCCCTTTGATTGACCGCTTCCCGTTTCCTTAAAATTGTTTCATTATATATTCAATAAAATGAAGAAAAAAGGATTCATAAGTGTCCCCACCGAGGTATTATTCTGGCTTTCATTTATGTTCTGCTGTGGTGAATACGCTTTCAATTTGGTATCACCTAGGAGTAAAACAACGAGTAGTCAGTAATTTCATATTCGGTTCATTTCATCACAATACCCTATTTACCAAGAAGCTTTTTTTACTCTCATAAGTAAATTAATTCCGGTTTAGTATGCCTAGTGACGCGAGTGAAATAGTTACGAGAGGCTACACATAATCCAACAAATACACCACTAATTACTTTTTTTTACATTCGGAGGTTTTTATTTTCCCATACGACACAAACTTTTGATATTTCACTTTACCCGTATTTATTGTCACTCCCGTTTATTTTCATTTCGCATCAAAGTACGGGGTCAATACATTTTAGTCCAAGTAACTAGAATCTGGATAATGGACTAAGTGATTGAGTACTTCTAACTAACGTGCCCGTTTTCGTATAAAGACTCAACTTCTTTTCGACATTGGTAATTGCCATCCGTGGTAGATCTTGTTCACAAAAAAATCGATATGCACTGTGGTTGACGTGGCCTTTCGAATTAGGACGATCTGTGTGTGTGTGTGTGTGTGGGTAATGGTAATGGTTTACTTTGGTGCATGCAGATTGCTCAGTGAGTTGTGATGCTTAATTTGGGTTCCGCCAATAACTTTTATGCTACTAGGTTACTACTAGTTGGCTAAAAGTTTTATCGTTTGCTTTCCAAATTTGCGGATAATGTGGCTTCAAAAATGTGTTCATTACCACCCATCATTGACGTTAGGTTTCTTCCAATTCACGAAATCCGGTTGTATGTAGCCTCTCGTTGTTGTGGTTGATGATGCTGTGTACACGAACTTTCGTATAACCCCACATAACCTTCCCTGGGGCTTGGGTATGAGATTTGCCATTTGTCTTGAATCGGTGGTTGGATTCAAGCTCGCATGTGCCCTTGTGATTGTGTGCGGATGTGTGTACAAGGTAAAGGGGGAGGACACGTGAATTTTCGTTCTCTTTGTGTGGTTTTCGCTGCTATCGTCTATGTTGTTGTGGCTAGTGTTGTGTCCGGCCCGAGCGGTCGCGCATAGAGGACACACGACCGGCTTTGCCTGTCCGCATACGCTCTCGCTCACACTCTGGTGTTGAGGCAAACGGACGACAGACAAGCACCCTACTGTGTGCGTTCAGCTGTGGGCATAGGCGGCTATTCCCGTCCACCCTGCGCGTGCTGAGAAGATTGATGGTTTACCAGTTGCCATTATGACTGAGCGATTTAATCGCTGACTGGATGGCAGCCCCGAGGCAACGTGCTGGGACGCTGCTCAACGAAATTAATCGGAGGTTGCTTACCGAACGAAATAACCTGCCACTGATATCAAGACTGATAGCACCCTTTACATTTTGTTTATTACCCTCTTTGGTTTCAATGAAAGTTCGCATGAGCGTGAGAATGGAAGAATCATTTAATTCTTTGTTATGCGGTTCAGATTTTGGCAGTACGTTGGTTTTGAGGTGGCAGATGGAGGCAGTGCGTGGATGTGTGCATGAGAATATATATAATATACACTGGAGAGAGAGAGAGAGAGAGTGAGAGACGGGTGGTGTGGTGGCGCCGTAACTGCCTAAGGTCAGCCAACACCAACCTAGCTTTTCCTATGTGATTTCGCCACAAATTCAGCCGCCTGTTATTTTTTACTCCCGAGGTAATTGAAGCTGCCGACCACATAGAAACTGATCACCATCAGTGGAGAGTGATTGAAGGAATTTGGTCCTCGTTAGCCTCAAAGAAGCATTTTGCATCGGGAGCAAAGTGCATACTATATCGAACTACCTCAGTCACCAAACTATTCGACAGAACTTTTAGTGCTTGCGCATATTTATCGAGAAGGGCTAAATTGTCGGCCTAATCTGAGTTTTGTTATTTCGTGACCTATAAGAGATGGATATATTTGATTGGTGACCGCGGTACCAAAATTGAGCTTGTTTCTCAATTTGACTTTTTGATGTAACCCTTGATTATATTCCGGTATACTCT